TGGACTAGAGCAAAAATGTGCTATTGATAAAGTGTGCTTCTACTGCTTCATCAAAAACAGGGGAGGTTATACTCAAATAACAACCATTATGTTTGGTGCTGGAGATGGCAACTTCTCACACTCACAGCTGCTATGATAAATGACCTGGCATTTCATAAACTGACTTGTTTATAAATAAGCTTACTTCAATGAACAAACATCTGAATAATTGCATTTGTGTGCCTGCTAGCTTTTCTGCTTCTTTCTCTTTATTTCAAATCAAATAATGAATAATAGATATCCCAACAACCTTACTGACATCCTTGCTGCATAAGAACAACAAAAATAACATTGTGGTACCAGAAAAGCTAGGTATTTTGTTGACTGCTATTACTGTGCCAGACACACTGTACTAGACTTTTCACACACACACACACACACACACACACACACACACACACACACACAAATGCAAGCTCATTTCACCCTTTTTTTTGTTCTTTTGTTTTTAATTGCTGTTGTAGATGACTGCATATTACAGACAACTCTACCCCCTGAGGAAAAAAGCAAAACTGTTTTCTTTGTTATAACTTGCATTTTGCTTCTGCTTGTCATCGGAGCCATTGCATTCATCTGGAGAAAGGCACGAACGAAAACCCAGCCTGTCAATAAAGGACGGTACGAGAAGCTGACAAATCACTCCAAAACCTCTCCTTCCTCTGTGAGCAACTATCAGAAGAATCCTAGCTACCATGAGGATCAGGTGATTGAATACAGAGATAGAGATTATGAAGATGATGATGATGACGAAGATGACATTGTATACATGGGCAAGGATGGCACAATTTATCACAAATTTAAATATGGACTTTTGGAGGATGATGAGGAAGATGAGCTAGAATATGATGATGAAAGTTACTCATTTAGATAACTTTTTACTAGTTCACTAACAGTAAATTAGTCGTATAAATTCCTATGAAATTATAGCTATTTAGTTAATATGTTTAGCTACTTAACTCACCTCCAATTTTTTGAAATTAATTATTGTGAAAGAAGATTCCTAGAAATATTTCTAGAAATTCTTTTCTTCTAAGCTAATATTTTATAGGCTTTTAAGTAGCACTCCAGATATAATCTGGTTAAGAGACCAAGTTTCTACGCATTTGTGTGGAGAATAATCTTTTTCCAATATGTATTTGTGTAACCAGCACAAACTTTTCTTCAGACCTTTTTGGAGAACCCTGCCAATCATTACTAGAAATGTGGTAAGCAAGATGGGTGCATCTATTTGATGAATGCCACTGGGAGAGGGTGCCAGTAGCTCACTAATTTGTGATTAGAATTACTTGGCAATGCATACTAGAATAGGCAACTTGGAGGAATTTAGTTAGATTTTCTTCATAATCACCTGGTGTTCTCTAAAGCAAACACGTTGCACTTCATAATCTTTACAGTGTATTTCCTTTGAATTTATGTATCTATGACATGATATTTTAAGACTTAGGATTCTAGCTACTTCTCATAACTATATCTTAATCACAGTTTGTATGAAATAGAACAAAAATATTTTATATATCAGCCTCTGATTAATCTTTACTGCAGTGTTTATCTTGCATTTTATGGATTAATTTCTCAGTATATAACAAAAGGCAATATTGTCTACAAGCATGGCACAAACACACATCAATCCTGCACCACGAGCAGGTGGTGTTTATATTGTAAATGGCTCAGGATGCTCAGACAATGGCAAAGGGGATATTTGCACTTTTCTGGTAATTTTTATTACTATTAAACAAATAAAAATTTTTAATTCTAAAGAAAAGTATGGCTGTTTGTTTTGAAGAATAAATTCTTTAGCCATCTTATATATGCTGGTATTCACTACATTTCATTAAATCTCAGAGTTTCTCGAGGTTTCCAGTAAGGATCTGCTCTAAAAACAACAATGGTGTATATACATATGTATATATGTGTATATACATATGTATATATGTGTGTATATATATATATATATATATATATATATATATATATATATATATATATATATATATATTTACTGTTACATGGAATTGTGTAATTGTGTAAAAATAACAGCTTTTCATAGCTCAATGCCTCAGTGGAATTTCCAGTATTACATAAGCCTAAAGACCTCAGGATAGTTCCATTTGTAAGATTAAAGGTGTTTTATGGAGAGATTTATTGCTTCCAATTTTAATTTTACCTTCTAGTCATTGCACCTGCAGAAAGAGGAATTAAAGGCAACATGACTTCACAAAAGCTGAAACAAGTACCTACGTTTAGAAATGCTTTATTCTTGTTGCTAATGGCTGATAACACAGCTGTGAGGATGTGCTATGACACACTTCCTCACATTTCAAAGGCTTATTCCTAGCCTAAGCAATCTGAAACCAGAATTATAATGTGCATTTTGTTTATGGGCTCACAGGTTACGAGATTATATTATCATGAAATGGCCAGATGACCCTGGCAGGGGCAACAAATTATTGGAACCATGGTGTCACAGTCAGGACTGGTTACTCAGCCCTTTTGCCATGCCCTGGTTTCCTGGGGGCAATGTGGCCCATCTGACAAAGCAGGGGAAAAGCATCACTGGTGAGAGACTTGCCAGACTCCTGAAGAGGACTTTAAATTAGATTTGCTGGGGAAGGGTGTCTTCCCATCCATACCAACCCAGCCAGTCAAATATCAACACCTAAAATGGATGCCCAGAACAGCACCAACATCTTCTGTAAAAGAGATTTTTTAATATTTTTGAAAGTGTTAAGTTTGAAAATAGTACTCAAAGACACAAATTTAGGAACCTGTATCCCTTTACAGTTCACAACTAGGAATCCCTGATAAGAGTCTACAAGGAGACCAAGCAAGTAAAAGCACAATGGAATAATTCTAGCCTTGCCTCTAAAGAAACTTTGTGGAAAACTGGTAGAACTAAGGAAGGCTGTAAAAAAAAAAGTACAAAGAACACAACAACCTAAGTTCCTTACACTTTTTCCTGAAATAAAGGCATCCAATTATTTTTTAATCTTTTCTAGTCCTTGTTACCGTTCACCACCATTTCCCAGCTCTGGCTCTCATTGTCACAGACATTTATAACAAGTTCTAGTCTCCTGGAAAACAAAATATTTCTAATTATTCCTCAAGACTAACAGATACTACAACTTTTCTAAATACCACACTAGCAAGTACAGCCTTCTGTTTAAATAATTTCTCTTTCATCTTTCTACTTTGTGTTTTTAGAGGATACATATTCCATATTAGAATCAGACTGCAAGCCATGCGACACGGCAGAAGAATGATTTTATGTGGTCTCCCAAAGAATAACAAGCTCTGCTCTATGAGCTGGCCCATTCCTGGAGTTTTCTAAATTTTCAGAAGCCTGTCCCCATGCACTGGACTTCTCTGGACAGTCTGTGGCACAAGATGTGGTTGCAAGGCCTTTTCCCTATTTGTTCCTTCATTTCAGAGAGCATCACAAATGGCACTTTTCTAAACCTAACATTAATGAGTCTTAAAAGCTCATCTCTTCAAGGAAAGCACTGTTCACAGAACTGACAAAATACAATTTTCCCCACATTTCATTTTACTCCATTTTGGACAATGTGCTGCATTCTGTCCAGGCCTCTGGAAAGTGAGGAAATTCCTTTATTCTTTTTTCTCTTCAGCAAATTTTCACATGGATATAAATACTTCTCTAATTATGCAGCCTATTTATTTTGTTTAAGTAATTTCAACCACACCTGAACTAATTTTAATAAGAATTATAACGGCATGTGCTACAGGGTTTCAAGATTTTTTAACTCTTTGTGGGAAGTTGCCATCAGAAAATACATCTAGTTTTTTATGTTTATTTTTACTGGCTTACTGCTATTGCTGAGCATTAATAACAGATTCCAGAAAACATTTTTATATTAAGTATAATGTCATTCTTAACAGGTACTATAGCAGCAAGGATGGTGACAAATAACTAGCAAACCTAGCTGCTCTAATTACATATTCCCATAAATGGAAGAGTTGTTACCTAAATCTTACCTTTTTCCAAAACTACTTTTTTTTGGTCAGGTCACTGGAAAAATGGGAAACAGTAATTTTTTTCCTGCAAGCTTCAATTGTGTCTCCTCTGTGCACATTTTAGGTTTCAATTCTCCAGTCACTGATGTGCTGTAAAGCATTTACTTGCAGAATCTAACCGCATTCAAGCAGTTTTTATTTTATCTTATGCAAATCACCCTATCATTTTTCAGAGAACTGCTCTACTCATAGGTTTGGCAAGAAGGGCTTTTTTCGTTTTGGTTTTTTTTTTGTTTGTTTTTGTTTTTGTTTTTGTTTTTGTTTTTGTTTTTGTTTTTTTTTAATTTATGATGATGATGACTAGAGACAAGCAAAATATTAGCAGGCAGACCTTGAAAATGTGGGGAATCAAACACATGTAATACAGGAATGCTGATATAGTTAAGTACTTGCATAAACCAAATCTATGTTCAGACCTGTACTGGTTACCAACTTTTTGATGAATGTCTATTCAATCTAGACTTAAAATACACATATAGAATTTCACTGTAACTGGTACTTTATTAAATTTTGTAATCCTTATAAATGGAATTCCTTATAAATGGAAGCTCCTATTGAGTTTGAATGCTTAAAATCTGTACTTTTGCAATCAGGTAAATATTACATACACACAACTAGCATTTGCACACTATCCTTTCTGTATACACTTAGTTACAGAACAATAACATCTAAAACTCTAGTTTTGTTGTGCTGGCTAGTTATATAAAATACTCCTGGCTTTCTGACACAAAGCAGTAACAGTTCAGTTATCTTTACTTTCAATTGGGTACATATGAAAATAATTCTAACATTTGAAATACAGCATGATATTACAAATGCATAATGTTTTTATTTCCTCATTCAAATTTGAAATACAGCATAATATTACAAATGCATAATGTTTTTATTTCCTCATTCAAATGAAATCCAGGTTGTCTGTATCTACTTACCAAGCCACTTTTCAATTGCGTTCTCATACTTTTTTTGGTCCTTTAACCAGTCTTGATGCCATCTAAGGTTTGCAATAACACTTGAGTAATTGTGACCCAAACTTTGTTTCCAACTGACAAACTGTTGTTTGTTATACTCCTGAACAGAAGAAGAAACCTTTGGATAGTTTACTATAGAGCGAAGTATTTTGTCCAAAGAATGTACAGTTACTGGGAATTTCATGGCAAGATTTGTAAGCTCATCTGGATCAGCAGTAAGGTCTGTAACAAACAAAAGGTCAGTTAAGATTAAATTTGCACTAAAGTAAATTAACTTTTATGTCAAGACATAAAAGTAGCATACCAAAGAGTTGGGGCAGTACTGAAGAGCCATCTGAGTATGTGATGTATTTCCACTTGCCAATTCTCAGCATATACACAGAGGAATTCACATTGCATCCATGGAACTCACTCAGCACCCATGAGGGCCGAGGTCCTGTGGGTGACACTTTGCTCTCAGTCTTTTCACGTAGCAGTGGTATAAGAGAATATCCACTAAGGTTCTGAGGGACAGGAATTCTTGCTATATCTAAGGAAATATACACAAAACCAAAATGTTACTGCAGTCCTGATGACTAAAAAAGTCTAACACAATGCTACCAATGTCTGAATGTTGACAATAAAATGTGCTCTCCTAATTATTATCCCAAAATACACAATAAAAAATACCTTAAGGAACTTCCCAAGGTAAGCTGCCCAGCATCTTGATCAAATATATCACTTATGTGTAACTTAAACTTTAACAGAGATTTGTGAAAAGGGATCACAATAGTCTCCTTCGACGGATGGTGCTGTTTTATTCCTTAATCGTGGTTGCAAACATTTCTCTTTTGCTCTGACTATATCAGGCAGAAGAAAAAGAATAATAGAGCATGAAAGGACCCTAAGAGCTCCACATCCAACATGTTGTAACCATTTATTTCTTGAACAATAATGGTGCTGTAGCATTCTTCATTAGTGAATAATGAAACGCCTCATAAAAGGTGGCCAATATTATCACCTGTAACTGGTGGGGACATTTGAGGAGCAGGGCTACTTGCTTCTCTGGCAGGATTGGAGATAAAGATGGTATTTGAGAAGGTATTAACATAATGCATGTATGGAAAACACTGGATGACTCCATAGCTTACCAGATGACCGCTAGAAAATGCTGTAATATCCATAAGTTCCTCAGCAGCAACTTATACCACAAGTTTCTCTAGCTCCCAAAGATCAGTTTAAAAGAATGCAAAGGTTTTTCAGAAACATTCTGAAAAACATAGCTGAGAATCCCAAGCATGTCCTAAAAACCATGTATGACTACTTTTATTTTTAATCACTCCACTATGCATTGTTTATAGTAATTCAAAATTCAAAGCTTGCCACTTCACAGGGCACCATGGTAGTATTTAATCTGTTCTGTGTTGAGTGGTATACTCTGTGCATATAAATTGCTCATAGGTGAATCTTTCCTTCATCAGCACATGTCTTCCTTTTTGTCCTCTGCCCAGCCAGCATCTGACAAAGTACTAGGAAGATTGGTGTAAACCCAGCAGACAGCTTCTGGGCATGCATGGGAAAAAAAATTTGAACAAATACATACTACATTCCAACAAATCAAAAAAGGATATAGGCTCTTCTGTCATCCTAAACCAGTAACGCTATTACTTGGAGGAACTGGATTATCTATGTGCAAAGAATGATCCAGCCACCTTCAGCAGCTCCAATAAAAGCTCTGCTTTTCCAATAGAGAGCCAAAGCTACTTCCATACAGACCAACAAAGCTAGTACTGCCTGGAGATTATGCTACATCCTGTTACAAAGGGCAAGAGCTGTTGCACTTCCAACTGTACATTTGTATCAAACAGATTCTGCTGAAATCAAAACATTTGCACTTTATTCCTAAAGTCAGTGCAGGAGGCAGTCTTGACCAAAGCATTCAGATTCCATCTTAAGAGAGATTATTTCCTTGTGACAACACAAAGCAAAGCAATTAAATTTGTCACAAAAATAGACTTGAAATCTGTTTCCTCACTAGTCAGCAGCAGCACGCAGACTGAGAACGTAAAACATGATAGAGATGGCTCTACAAGTGTTCATTTTTTGTCACATGTGCCTTTTTGACATTCAAAGTACAGAGAAAGGCAACTGCCAGAACAGAAGGAATGAATTATGTGCATAAAGCTCTGGGGAAAAAAAGCTCAAACAAAAAACCCCCCACAAGGAGAAGACAGAAGGAGTTAACCATCTGACCAGTTATGTCTCTTGGGGAAAAGAGAGAAAGGAATAAAAGAAGAGATTTTTAACTCTTTATATAGGCTACCATAACTTGTATAATAACATCCATATCTTGCACAGATAGATATACATAACAATTCGATGTCAAAATTTGGAAGAGAAAGCCACTCAGATTTTATATCCTATTTTTCAATGGATAACTGTCCAAAAGTTTTGAGAAGTCACCCACAGATAAATAACTTCTGTTTACTTTTTATAAAATCAACTTAAAACAATATAGAAGTGGGGTTTTCACTGACATTTACTGCTAGAAGTACAGTTTTATTCACTTATGTTCTCCAGGCAATTGCAGTGTACATGTGATGCCTCTTAAAGAGCAAGCCTTCCCAACTAGTTTGAAAAGAACATTTTTTTTCTGATTAGAAGCCTAAAAGATCACAGATAAAGCCTCAAAAGATAACTTTACCTGATGTTTAATTCCAGTCAGAATTCTCTTGCGTGGTTTATCACAGATAACTGTTCAAAAATTCCCTCTTAAAAGTGATTTCCATCTAAGTAATTTAAGTTTAGTTCTTTTTGTTTGATTCTCTGTCCAATACTGAGTATTTTCATATCTCATAAGGTAAGAATGGATATCCATTATCACATCTTTTTAAGTGTGCCCAGATCATTTGTACATTTCCTATACAAAGTTTCATCACATTTCTTCCACATGACCCTTCAGTCAATGAACGTGTCCTCCTCCTTTCAGGTTTAATCTCATCTCTGAATGCACTTACACTGTAATTTCTACAGTAAACTGCTGGGTATGAAGGCTAGCAAGGATTATTCATATCTAAAATGGGTTTTATTCCCTTTTTTTACTAACAAATAATCCTATATATAATCAGTCAGTGTAATTATGTAGATAAAAGTTAAAGTAATAAAGAAGAACAATCAGTTTCTTTATTTTATTTTTTTCATCCATTTTTTACTTTTTTCTTTTAAGTCTATGTCCATATATATGGTCCACAGATAAATTATCTCCTGTTGTGTTACTATCTTGCCTTAAAGTTGAGACATCATTCTATTGATACAAATGCAGAATAGTAATGGTAATGGAAAAAAATTGTCACCTGAAATTTAACTCACCAAGCATAGTAGGGTAGATATCCACAAGAGATACTACATTTGGTATTTGGTGCTGTTCTCTTAAACCTGGCCCCATAACTAAAAGAGGAACATGGGAACTTCCCTCATACATGCTCATTTTATAGAACTGACGGTGTTCCATAGCAAGTTCTCCATGATCTGCAGTGAATATAACGATTGTTTTTCCAAGAAGCCCAGTATTTTGCAGAGCTGAAATAATCTCACCTGCAACAACAAAAAAATACTAAAAAGGATACATTCAAAATACTTCTTCCAAGGTCTATACTTACAAAGCTTCATGCAAATTTCAAGGAACCCTCCTAGTTCAGTGGAGGAAAGTCCTCTTTTGTTTCACATACATTTGTGCAATGAAAACACAACATATACTCCTATATTTTTGTATGTACGTTTGTGCAACAAAGACAGGACCAAGATCAATGAAGCTCGTAGTTAAGCAAACCACTTAGGCATCTTAAATATTAAAACTTTAGGATGATTCATGCCTAAACATACTAGTTAAAAGATGTTATAAAATTACAACTGCAGTGCAGTTACTTTGCAATCCCTTATTTCCTAGATATGTAAGGCTTCCATTGATGTCTTTTAATTCATAAAATGAGGAGGAGCAATTCTGTGTCTTTTAATTCACTTTACAAATCTATTATGCTGTCCTAGCTTAGGCCATATGCCTAAAAGATTAGCTTATTTGATCATGAATTTCATACTAGTATGCAAACAAATTCATGTTCATTCATGGTCACTTTTCAAATTGAAAAATAAAATGCTGTAAATTAAGACCAACTTGCATTGTAAATTATCTAGCTGTAGACCTTCCTGCAAACGCTGAAAAATTCTGAATGTACAATCAATTATTTCTTCATAACTTTCAATAATATGCTTCTAAGGGACACTCCAAATGTAAGCTTTTTCTTCAGTCAATGTGTAACAGCTGTTATGCAGTTTACACATTTGAAATCAGCCTCTAAGGAACCTACTTACACCCTAAAATGTATCTTTTCTTCCAGCTCAGCTTTTACACTCTGTCCCCTACACAAAAATGTTTCCATTATTTCAGTTAGCACTTAATCAAAGAGACTTAGTTCCTCGTGTACATGGGTGTCCTGGGTGCAGAGGAATAACATACCACCTATGTCATGGAGGGAGCATGGTTTTCAGCATGAGATGCTAAGGTCTGCTGAAGTAGATTCAGTTTTACCTCAGTGGTGGGAAGGTGTGAACTGTTCCCTTAACTGTTGCTGAAGTCCAGGCAGGCTGTTAGCTGTTTCTAGAACCCTGACAAGCTGTAACTATTCCTGGAGCAGCAGGAAGACGAGAGAAGCTGCTGCCACCACCACTGCTGCTACTGCTTCTGCCACTGCTGCCACTGTCAGGGCCAGCCCTTGCAGCAGCTGGACCCTTTATTTGGATTAATAGCTCTCCAGGCTTAATTTTGTGCGTGTTTCCCATTGTTTCCAGACTGGAGGAAGGATAATAAACTGCAGAAACTTTCTTGCCTCATTGCTTTTGTTTTTCTGAGCTGCATGGTCCAGTGTGGAGGGGATGGAGATGACAGGTGCCATCTTGCCTTCATCTGGGAAAACCCCACTAGGTACTCTCGGGGTGTGTTTGCTTTTTTGTTGGTGAACACCCTTCCTTTGGGTAGAGCATTCTCCCTTTGTGCCATCTTTTATCTATATTGTAATGTTTATTGCAAGTTTCTCAGTAAAATTGATGTTCCCACTTCTGGTATCTCCTAGTACTTCCTGTGTTGTCAAAATGGGATGGAGGAGGAGGGGCAGCTTCCATGGGGTAATTTTCCCATTGCATTTTAAACCAGTGCAATAGGTAATGCCATAATTTGCTGCAGTCCCTGGTTTTCTACAGAGCTTCTGACTGCTGGCTGTGATTACTTTTCAGAGCCTTTCAATTAACCTAAAGGGCTATCCTGTCATTTATTACATAGACTGAATAAGCAGCTTCCACAACTTACTCTCAGATGTGAATTGTAGTGGTTTGTTTTCTATCTTTTTCCCCAAAAGATCAGCCCTATCAGCATTTTCTTTTAAAAAAATCAGAACTAGAAAATCCACTGTGTAATAAGACATTACCTACCCAGCATGGCATCTGTCTCTGCACACATAGCATAATAAAATGCTCTAATATTTCTCACTTCTTCCTTTGTAAACTCTCCAGTGCAATTCTTCGTGTACGATGAGTAATAGTCTACTGGATGCATCTCTGAAAGAGAAGACCACTTGGGTATTTTAATAGCTTCATAATTTACCTAAAAAATAAGAGGAAATTATCATTACTTTAGCAACTGAATTAATAAAGTTTTTTAACAGAGATTTAATTTAAGAAATTATAGCATAAATTCACAGTTCTCAATTTATGACCCAGGAAACACTAGCTGCTTATTTGTTACACCATGCAGCTCTCTCCTCCCTATGTCCCCACAGTTTCCAAAAGTAAAGTGTTTTTTAAAAACTTATGAAAATCAACAAGAAACTAAGGCTAGGAGCTACAAATATGTGCTTCACCAACTGCTGTATATTTTTAAGAGAAGTATCACAGAACACTCTTCTAAAGTAGTGAAGTAGTCTTCATAAAGTAGGTACAGAATATTGACATAGAGTATTCATAACTGCAGAGTAACTATAAACCCATAGATCTAAAAGATTGGGTGTTATGTGGGACTAGAGAACATGGAAAACCATGTAACCTGGGAAAGCCTCCAGGACAGTGATGACAAATCTTGGCATCTTGATAAAAAGAACTGACTACATTAGTCCAATTTTCTTATGCTTTCTACATGTTTCTACATATGCCAATCCATTTAGCTATAAAGAAATGTAAGATCAGTATGAAACTAAAAAGACAATCTATTTGTATATTCAAGCTATGCATAGTCACAGGTATTGTCTGCTTCAGTACTAGCTTTAGAGTCTTGAAATCTGACAGACACATTTAGCCTTGGCTGTCATACTTGCAAATATTCCCTTAAATAAAAGGGAACTTTAGGCAATTAAATAAATAAGTAAAAGGGAACTTGAGGCAATTTCCTCTTGTACTTTCACTTGTTACTTGGAGGAAAAGCCTGACAGCTAAACAAGCTGATAAAACTACAAGAGTTCAAGTGCCCATAGAAGTAAAACCTGGCTTTGTAACAGTAAAATAGATACAACAAAATGTAAGTTTCGTTAGGATCTATAGAAAACACACTACTAGAAAAAATTCACAAAGATAAAATAATAATGCTTCAGTCATTTTCTTATTGCTCAAGGTTCTTAGCTACATTGTGGAGTTATATTTTGGACTTTGTAAATGGTATTGATTAGCTGTTTAAGATAAGAGAGCAAAAAGTGTCCCTCTCCATCCATGATTTTTTTCTACAGGACTTCAGCCTAGTTTTAAGTATTCACAAAGCCACAATCCCTTTTCTGCTAATGGTAATGTCCTGGGTAACCCAAAATGTTACTGCATTCCGTATCTATCTGTGCTGTAAGATAGTTACTGTGTCTTTAAGACCTGAAGCATGACTGGAACCAGACTTGCAGGGCAGCCGGGAGATGCCAATTCCTTTGAAAGGTCAAGAAACCCAAGCTGACCCCCTCTTCTGCTGAAGGAAGAGCCTCTGTTTCAAAGGGGGTTGATGTGGTGAGTTTCTGGGCTTCCAACTGTAGCAACTCAGAAAAACTTCTGTTTAGCAAACAGAAACTGTATTCCCAGTGATCTTTGCAAACTCTACGGGAAGCGAAGCTTCATCAAGGGGTTAGGCCATCCCACATCAGTGTCCACAGATCAGTTTCCCCTGCTCCTTCTCCAGCACACCAGCAGATCAGAAGGCATGAGCACCAACACCAGCGGAATCCAGCCAGTGCAAGAGGAAGTAGCAAACAGCTGTGCTGATCCCACATATGCCAGAACTTCCTATCTGTCACTAGACTTTCGTAAGCTCCGACCTTCCCAGGAGGGTTTGCTACTATCTGTTCCCTTTGTTTCTTGGTGTGCATGGTCACCCATGGCAGGTGCCACCTTGGAAAGAGCCTGACAACCACTTCCCTTTGCCCCCTGGAGTCAGCAGTGGGAGGTTGTCATATTAGGAGGCAGCACCCAGTTTGGGGTCTCTTTGTTCCCGTGGAGCTCCTGCAATTCAGCAAGTTCATATCCAGTGATTGTTCACTGCTATTTTTTGCATGTTGCTGTTTCACTTGCTAGTAAACTTATTTTTTCACTTATATCCATTGGTATTGGTTCCTCACTGGTGGAAAGGGATTGGTTGAAATTAAGGGGAGGAACTTATTTTAGAATGTCTACCTCTTTGAATCGTCTTAAACCAAGACACGTAATTCATAACTAGGAAAGAAGTCACATGCCCTGGAAAATTGACAGCTTGTGCAAAATACAGGGGACCATCTGCTTAACAACACAGCGTTTCACAAACACACTGTGTTGACACTCTGTTCCGTACTACAGCCCAAATAAAAAGGACATTTAATTCAGTTCTTCATCTGTGTGATCAAACTTCTTCATGAGATTGCCTCTGTGATTTTACAAGACTGCTTCTTCCATGACTAAAAAAGAGCTACATTGCAGAACAACCAGCCAATGGTCAGTAAATGGTAATATGTGGCCCACACAATGCAGTATGTATACACAGTGGTGGGAAGGAACCCAGCAAACTGTGCAGTTAAGGTATTCTGACTGAATAAAAGATGACAAAAATTTGTCAAAGATGTTGTGACTGTGACTCAAAAACTGTCTGTGACTCAAAAGAAAGTACCTACACTTCCCAAGACACATCTAACCAGCACCCAGCAAGTTTTTCTTAATAACTAAGCTAGATCTTTTTGTAATTGAAAGGGTTTTTTTCCAAAGTTCTTCCTCTCTCCACAACTTCTCACCATTCCCAGAAGAACCCACAACCCTCACTATTACAAAGAAATTCACATCTCTCAACTTCCACTTGTAAATCTGTTTTTTCTAAGTATTTGTATTTTTGGTACACCTAGATAAAGAAGTTTAACAATTCTGTCATGGAAAAGGCCACAAGTTACATAAATTGCATATGGAGATGTTTTTTGTTTTTTTGAAGCATAAAGTCGTATCAACCTAATTCTAATTTTTCAGCTGCAGAGAATATTAATGCCTTTCTGCAATTAAATCTATGTTTATATTTTATGGCAGATAATGGCAACTGGAAACTATACAAGACAGAAAAGAAAGTATTTCTTCTTTGGAATGGACTGCTATTTCTTAATTTTGCACATACAGACATAAGGACACTTTCTTGTGCTTCAAACCCTACAGAAGCACAGAAAAAGTTAACAGAAAAGGAAGACTTCTGTTGTGTCTTATCTTGTTTTATGTTCTAGGTCCATACTGCAGAAAAAGTCAATCTTTCTTGTAAAACTCAGACAAAATCATTACACATAGCAGAATTTCTAGAAAGCAAAATACAGAATGTTCATCATAATGAACTTCAGACCACTACCTAAATTAATTTACAACTAAGAATAGCAACAATCCCATTTTTTAATGTGTTTCTAGCCATTGAACTCAATACTTATTTATTGATTCAATGACTACTACTAACAAACTTTTTCTCACAACAGAGTCACATTTGTCACCCGTATTTTCTTAGCCTTTAATCAGAAATCTAACATCTCATTCAAGTACTTTTTACTGCATAGTGAAATATCAAAACTTGGTCTATCTTGAAAAAGCAGTTAAAATATTGTTTGTAATAAGTACAGTTATTAATAAATTAATATTCAAATTTTTATTCACATACCTTTTCAAGCCAATAGGGAGATGTTAAAAATGTAGAGGATCCAAAATTTTCTCCTGCATAGGGTGATGGATATGGGTGTGGTAAATTTAGTCCCAAATAAAGAATAAATGGTTGAGTAAAGTTAACAGCTTCTTCCTTTATCCAGTTTACAGCTTTATCAGTATTTCGCCAATCTGTTTCCATTACTCTAATCTGCTTCCTATGGCCTGTAACTTTCACCATGGGTCTTCCTTCTTGTCGAAGCAGGAAGTTAACATCCCTAGTCCAAGCTTCCACACGGTTACTAAAAATACATACACAAGTCACATACTCAACAGAAAATGTTTTCTTCACTTTTTCTCCAAGCAAAAAACATTATGAATTCCTGAAGAATTCAGTTGCAATCTACTTCCAATTCCTGCATAAAGGAGAATTGTTATTCAATTGAGCAATAATGATTGTGCATCTATTTTATACTCAGACCTTCAGCCTTTTTATGTTTGCTTCTGAATCTTCTTTCGTATTTATTATCCATTTATGTCAGAATGGCTCTTCTCACATCTACAAAATAATACTTAGAAATACCAGTCTATCTTGTGGACACTTCTCCACATTTTGGCACAGATTGACACACTATTTATTTGTAAACTAGGCCTGAGATTTTTATGTGAAAGAGTCTAATGGAAAATAACTTCACTGGTGAGGCTGCCTTTAGAAACAACATTCTGGATGAGGCTTGTAGTATTAATTAAATACACTTTAGAACAAAATTCTGTGAGAATTATTTCTCTTGTATAAATCCTATCAAACAAATAACATAAAAAAGTGTAAAGAAAGCAAGAAGGAGGGAAAACCAGCAAAATTTTAATGAAAAAATATTTTTTAACAGATTTTCCAATGTCATGGCAATTGTTATCTTTCTAAAAGACTAAAAAAACATCTGAGCTGCAAATATCCTTGTTTCTTTGCTACAGTGAATGATGGTAGACATTGGTAAGAGGCAGACTATCTAAGACCTTGACTAATCTTCACTTTGTTCATGGCAATTTCAATATAACCAACCAAATTACAAAAGGAAAGTATAAAGCTGCTCAAAGTTTGATCGCATGCTTTTATCAAAACACATTATTAGTTTTTAAAGAGCATCTAACTAGTCTTATCCCCAAAGGAATTTTTCCAGTGCACTTTAACTTCCAGAAAAGCTATTCAGAATTATCTGTAACAATTCTTTTTATTGTTTAAACTCCTTGTTTAGGCCCACACTTTCAACCTAAACAGGCTTAAATAAATTACTTAGAACAAATTAAGGTATCTGGTTTACAGAGAAACCATGTTTCATAAACATTAAAATGAAATTATGATAAATGAGTGTATGTGGGGGTGTGTCTAATTGCACCTATGTCACAGTACTGATTTATACAGAAAAATTACTATGTAGGCCATAGGCCAGTCTGATTATTCAGTCAGACTGAGATTAAGATCAAGTTTAAAGAAGAAAATCTCCTCTTAACTAAGAAGGAAGCAATAAGTAACTCTAACCTGTTTAATATTAAAGAAAAGTCTTCTCTTTATTATTATTTCAACAAAGAACATAATTATTAATCAGTGAGATAGAGCATGTCCATAAAAACAGCACAGAATGAAGATTCCCCTACAGCCCATGGAGAAGATTGTGAGGAAGGCTGTCCCTCAGCAGTCCATGGAACAGATATCCACTTGAAGCCTATAGAGTACCCCACACCAAAGCAAATGGATATCCAAAGAAGGCTGTGATCCTGTGGAAAGCCTGCACTGGATTTCCAGCAGGACCTGCGGACCTGCAGAGAAAGGAATCCATGCTGGAGCAGGTTTACTGGCAGGACTTGTGACCCCATGGGGGGACCCACACTGGAGCAGTTTGTTCCTGCAAACAGAAGTGCATCCCATGGAAGGAACCCATGCTGGAGTACTTTGTAAAGAACATCAGCCCATGGGAAGGACTCACTTTGGAGAAATCAGTGAGGGACTGTCCTTTCAGTGGGGGAGGGACACCATACCGAAGCAGAAGAAGGTTAGGAGGTCTCCATGTGATAAGGAATGAATGGCAGAGACAATGTGTGATGAACTGACCACAGTCCCTATTCCCAAACCCTGTGAGTAGATGTGGTAGAAAATTTGGAAATTAAGCCTGGGTAGAAGGCTGGTGGAAAAGTATTTCAAGATTTGGGTTTAGTTCTCATTCCATTACTCTGGCCTCTAATTGGCAATGAACTAAATTAATCTTCCTAAGTTACGTCTGCTTTGCTGTTTACCTGAGTGATCTCTCTCAGTCCTTATCTTCACCATTGAGTCACTGTTTTTATTCCTTCCCACCACTGGAGGAGGTGGAGTCATAGAACAGTTTGTTCTCACATGCTGGCTGTGGTGTGTCCATCCAGGGTCAACCCACCACAAAAGCACATGTCTTTGAACACTTACAGCCTTCAAAAAAACCCCTTAAAACCTCTGAAATTTTGTGACAGTAGGCTTAATATTTAATTATTATAAGTATGGGGTTTTGTTCTGGTTTTCCAACACCAGGAAGTCAGGAAGTCTTAAGGCAATGCAAAAACAGTTTATGAATTTCACTTAGGGAGTAATAATAGTAGTGGAAGAAAATTACCATGTTGGGCAAAACCAGTTTCTGTATTACCTTTCAACTACAGATAAAAGCCAAAGTACAGCTGCAAAAGATATACTTGCTTCTCCATAAAGTTGCAGGACATATCTCTGCTAGGTACCTAACACAATTTCTTTTAAAGCTACTATCATTTCAACTGGAGACCGAAACCATGTGACAGCTCCCTAGATGATATGTTCACTGCTGCCCTTTTAACAGCAGGAAAATCTACCAGATTACCTTATTGAATGATGTCCAGAAGTAAAGTCCAATTTCCCAAACTTCTGTGTATGGTAGCCATGCTTCTCCATGAGATCCATCCATGTTACATAACCTGGATCTAGACCTTTGAAGTTATTCCAAGATTCTGTTATATGAGTGAAAAGACCACTCCACATAGCTGGGAAAAAAAAAATGATGAGTAATTAGTATTCCCACCTATAAGGTTGAGAAGGGATTAATCTTCTCATTATTACGGAGGTAAAAAGTCCAAACTGTGATACAATAGAACAAGGAATACAAAGTATCACTCTTCCAAATCTTATTTCATCATCAATACAAGTATCAAAATTTACTCAAATAATCCCCAGAATTGCAGAAGAAGGTCCTATCTTTCCAGGTGCTATGCAATCATTAAATCAAGTTTTAATTAGATCAGAAAATATTCTTGATTTCTGAAAGAAAATGGCATGGTAGTACAGATCCTGATGAAACAATCCTGTATTTACATGTGTTTCAGAGTATTAGTTACACTTACTACAGTTGATTTAATGTGAGTCTAAAGTTAAGTATATTTGTGGACAGAATTACAATATAGTATTTCCATAAATACAATATGCCCTCAATTTTATTCTTTATAGGTAATCTACTTCACTACGAGTTGCAGAAACAAAGTGAGAATATTAAAAAAGATATCAAGAAGAAAGGAAACCAAAGCAAGAGTTGCAAAGGAACTATAAGGAAAGATTTTTTAAGTGAGTTCCTATTTCTTTGCAGTTTATCAAGAATCATTCACTCTTTCCTGTGCTAATTAAAAGTTAAAGGTAGTCCCAAAACAGAACTAAGTCATTACACAAGCAATAGAAATATCCTGTAAGCAAAGCGCATCAACCCCACATGGTCCCTTCCCCACCCCAAGGCCATCTTTCCCGCTATCTCTTCTTGTACATCCCTGACACCTCCACAATAGATGCACCCTCTGTTCATTGCAGGTATTCAAGCTCCTGGCTAAGCAAAAGATGTCCTGCGGGTTCAGAGCCCCATATATGAGCTCAGTAGTCACAGCTCCTTATATAATACTACACATAACTGATGAATCATTTAGTTCATTATGCATTTTCTTTCTCACAAGAGTACTAACCTGCCATTTTCAAAAACTTCTTAAAATTAAATAACATAAAATCATTGTTCTTAGCAATAAAAATTGGCTGAAAGACTCAAGCATCAAGAAAAGAAAAGGAAGGAAAGACTCAAGCATCAAGAAAAGAAAAGGAAGGCCAACTGCTTGTTCATGTAATGTCACCCACTTAAATGTGACCATGAGAAAAAGAAACAGGGACTAGGTAATCAATAAAGGTAATATTAAAAATGTAACACTATATTTGACTGCCTTTGCTGCTTCTTTCAGCGTATGCTTTGAGAAGAGGGGGGATCTTTTTATAGCTACAGATTAAGGAAGGTCTTTGCATCAACTGAAAGACAGAAATGTTTAAGATGTAATCTTTACTGAGGAATATAGTTTCCTTCTACCTTCCTAGCAAATTCTGCAAGTGTGAAATTGAACATAATCACAGTAAGTAAAGAAAAACATGCAAGTATTCAATTAAAGCTAAATAAAGATGTGTCACGTATCTAGAAGACAGGGCAACTGCTACCACTTTATTCAGCTATTATTACTCTTTGCTGAATACAGGAAAGATATTGAATGACTTTGTATTTGTATTGGGAAGAGAGAGTAGTTCTAAATGTAGTTTCAGCACTGCATGAGAACAAATTGATGATTTCTCTATAAATCCTGAAGATTTTTTAAAAATCTGAATCTTTAGTGGAGTTTGTAAAAAGACTGGGCACCTTACACATAACTGAAAAAAGGAGAACAAAAAATAAAGGAGGAAACATAAGGAACAGAAGAGATAAACACATGAGAGAAGAATACCCCAAGAACTCAAACACAAACTGAAAAAAAAGGATCTTACTGAAAAACAAAACAAATCTCTCCCCATTAAATAATTTCAAATTTCCCATCATTACCACATATTTAAATTTACATGTGTAAGCATTTATCATATGTTTCACTTGATTCTACCTGCGCGGGAAGGACAACAAATTGGAGAGTTGGTGTAGGCATTGAGAAAGACAGTGCCATGTTTTTTCATAAAATTTATGGAAGGTAAATCCACAGTCTGATTCCCTGGCAAAAATGTCAAGCGTCCATCCTGCAATGAAACAAAAGCAACACATAAACAGCATTCATGCAAACTATTAATTAATATATTTGTTACCATGGACTGGTGTTGCTCAAGTGCTGCCAATTCTACACGGGTATGGAAAACAAGGAGTAAGACTGAATCCCAATGTAGATGTGTGCACTAGCACATATTTCTGTGAAATCATCATTGATTCCTCATCCTTTTTAAAGGTTTATCCATACCATTTCTCTGTGAATTTATTTGAAACTATGGACTGGAAAAGGGATCAGAAAGCTAAAGAAAGGCTATTTTCGCACAAAAAACCCACTCACAGTGGTTCCCTTTTAATACTTCCATAATGCTAATTTTGATGCTTTCATAATGCTTATTTAATTTTAATAACCTATTTGTGTAGACATATTTTTCGATCAGTAGCTTAAAATGATTAAAGTTTGAATAGGTAATTTTAGAGTAAAAGATTATCATCACATGAAACCAGTTTTTATGCAGAGTGCTATTATTTCATGTAATTGTGTTTTGTCTGTCACTTTTATTCCTTTCCTTGGTTGAATAAGATGTGCCAATACAGCCCCAGCCTCACTGGCTCTACAGTGAACAGATAGGCGGCAGTCCAACTGTAGTTATAATTGCAGAAAAAAGTAATTCCCAGCATTTGGTTTCTGGCAGAAATACTCTTGGATAACTCAGTATTGTAAAGAGTCACTTCATTTGGCACCAGTAGAGCTAAATGGAGCATCCTAGCCCCTGAACATAGTTCATATCAGAACATGCTAAATGAGCAACCACCTAATCTTGTATACTACTACAAATGGCATCTTGAACAAGCACTCCAGTAGGACAAACTGGAAATACAGCTGTAGTACACAATAAGAACTTGAACAAAACTTTGGGCTGAAAGTGCTCTTTACAAAGTTGTCCTGGCTGAACCCAACTAGGAAAGGTTCCTTTTAGCAGTAGCCAGAAGGGGACATGGCTAAGACATGGAGGTTATTCTGTACCAGCTCATGTCATTTTCCAGAACAGGGGAAGGGGTTCCTTCCAGGTCAAAGTAGTGCGGCAGCCAACAGGTACTGTCGGGCTCTGCATAGTATAGTGGTGAGCATTTGAATGTGAATTGCTCACCTCTCTCGTATATTTTTCTATTAACGTTATTGCTGTTAATGTTCTAGTAAACTGTTATAGCTCTGCTGTTTCTAGTAAATCGTTCTCACCCCAATCTGTGACCTTTTTCTTCTGTGTCTGCAATTTTCTGCTCCAGCCTGCTGCAGAGGAATGGAAGGGGGACAGAGAAGCAAGCAAGTGGCACATGGTTTGGAGCGATTTCATGGGGACACTAAATTGGAGAATACTAAACCATGACAAAAGTACACAACTGCTGGGCAGTCTTGTCAACAACACATTCTTAACTTTCTCCAACAAAGTCTTGTTTGAACAGCTGGACACAAGAGTGCCTTATATTGATACTGTGATACCATATTCAGTGACACAGCAGTAAAATAACTCCATATTCTTGGTGTCACAGTATGCTCGGTACTGTGACATGACTATTGTTTCTATAGATGACAGGGTATTCAGTCAAAGTAGTAAGCATCTTGAATGGCTGCGAAGTTGGAAGCTCAACATCTATTTCTGGAAATCCATCCCCTAAGAACTGTGTAGGATTTCTAGGTTTTAAAATACCTAAGGAAATAAAAAGCCCAGACCTTTTAACAGCCTGGAGGACTTAAGCTTTTTTTTCCAGAAAAGATGTTTGTTTCAACAGTACGCTACCCTTCTTGTTCTCTGCTAGCGATGTAATCAAAATGTTTCATCAATTTCTACCTTCAAATCCATCTCAGAAAAAAAGTTTACACAACACATTTCTTTTACTATACTCTTCTTTGTACGCACTATGCAAAGATGACACTTTTCAAAAACAGCACCTTGTTATTAATTGTTTACCTAAGAATTCCAGAAACATTGTGAGTTTTGCCTTTCTCTTTTGTAAGGGTTACTGTCGTGGTTTGACACGGAAAGAGAATTTTTTCCGGAAGGAAGAGGTCAATTTGGATATTGACCAATTGAAGGTGGACACGCCTCTGAGGACACAGAGGGGTTAAAATCAGAATTCCCAGGAGAACTGGCTCTCTTTGGTTCCGGTCAGCGTGCAGTGCAGGACTCTCCCCTGCCCGGCCGTGGCTGGGTGGGGAGGGGAAGGCCCATGGCCTGACGGAGGTGGGCCCAGGGGTGGAGGGGCTGGAACCGGGCTGGCCCCTGCAGATGGAAGGGTGGAAGAAAACTGAGATGTCTCCGTTCCCCCCACCAGAGTTTCTCTCCCGAGAGGGAGAGAGAAAGAGACAGCGGCAGTTCTGCCAGCAATTCCACCGCGAGGAAGGAGGAGCGGGGGCGGAACTGCAAGGTGTCCAGCAGTCGTGTGGGAGCCGCAGTCTGGGCATTGAGCCATCCCTGGGAGTTCGGACTTTTAACCCTTCCTTGAGAAATGAAAGCTTTGTGAATTTTCCTTTCTCCTCTTTTAGTTTGAAAGAGAGGAAGAGAGAAAACTTAGACCCTGGGATGTTAGAAGGAGGAATTCTAGATGGGAGGGGGACAAGGAGTGGCTTTTGGCTGGACTTTTCCGTGTTAGCCACAACCTGAACTAATCTTCTCCTCCAAGAGACACTGTGTTTTAGGAAGATGCTAAGTCAAGAGACCTGCTTCAGCTGAGAAAAAGACAAAAGTAGAGTGAACGGAGAAAAGGTTAGGGAGTTTGTGATGGCGCCCCCGGTCCTGGAAAGGAAAGAGAAGAAAAAAAGATCTCTATTCTTGAACCCTCGGCCCCAGGGGAAATGGAAAAAATAGGGGGGACTGCGGTCCCAAACAAAGAAAAACTGAACTGTTGTTTTCCCCCTTTTGGCAGGACATCCTTGAACGGAAAAATCCTAAAAGCAGTCTGTCCATCCACGGATTAATGGTAAGAGCACTGTGCATAAAAAAGAAAAAAGTCACCGTAGCAAACTTTTCTCCGGGCGGTGCCATGTGTGACATGGAAACACAGGATGTGGAGCTGTGTTTTCTTGGGGGGTTTGTGGCACAGGAAAGACTCTGTTCTCTCGAAGGGCTAAATATCAATTGTCTGGAAGGTAGAAACCTGATTAGAGCCCAGATTGTGTCTCACTGTAGTTTGTTAGAGTTGGGTGGTGGGAGGAGGAATGCTTTGCAAAGTTTTCATTTAATCTTTGTGTAGTTTTTATTTTTTTTTTCCTTTCTTTTTCCTTTTTGTAGTAATACCTTAATGAAGTTTTTTTTCCTATTATTAAACTTAAGCCTGCTTTGCTCTATTCTAAATTCCACTTCACAGCATTCAAGGGAGGGATCACATTTTCATGGGAGCATTGGCATTGTGCCAGTGTCAAACCATAACAGTTACCTCATTAATCTCTGTAATATTGTTTCTGAGAATCTTCCCGCTTAAAGGAGACATATAAAAGTTCACCTAATGTTTGTCTGCAGCATCTGCTAGCATCTGGATATAAAACAGACATTGACTAGCCCTCAGGATCTTAAATACTGTAATTTTAACTATTGGTAAATAGACTTTTAGCAAAAGCTGAAAATTTGGAGAAAAAGACACGCATTATTTTGGAATATTAAGAGAGACTATTTACTGAAAATAAAATTAACAGAGAAGGAAGGAAATCAATAAAGAGCTATTACATAAATAAAGAAGGAACTATTTCTTTATCTTTGAAATCACAATGAATGTGTTTAAAGATAGGGTTTGAAAAAAGATAATACATGTTTACCAAATATTAAATATAATATAATGTTTAATTTTAGGAAAAATTCATCCTAAGAAAAACAGGCAGCAGGCAAGAAGCCAACGGCTTTTATCTGTGCAGTCAGATGGAAACCCAAGGGATCAAACTTCCTCAATAGTGAAAGAGAAGTGATGAAACGTGAAAGCACCTGGAGCTTAACACCACGGAGCTTATGTCTGATTCCACAAAGTGTTAGATGAGTTAGAGTAATAAAGGCTCCTCAGAGTAAAACACATCAAAGCACTTCCAGTGTGCTGGTGGGCACAGCGAGAAAACTGTGAAGATACTGCAAGGATTATATTTGTGAGTGGAAAAATTTGCGTCTGAAGGGTAAACCAAATACATTAATAAATCACTGTAATGAAGCCGCTAGATGCCTACTGCTATAGATATGTCTGACCAGTTTACTGTGTTGTTATACCTTTTAGGCGCCTCAATAAACCAATATTTGGTGCTCACTAAGTCAGTAATTTCATCTGTGATTCTAGAAAGTCGCTATCCCATTTGCTGTGGAGAGTAGCAGGGTTTAGTGACCTTGCTTGCCATTAGGCTTTTCAAGCGAACCGAAGAGTAATTCACTTTACACACCAGCCCCGTTCCAGCGGCGGCTGCCCTGCCACCGAGTCCTGCTGGCACGCCCCGCTCCGGGGCCACAGGCTGTATCACAGCAGGCGGTGGGAGCAACCTGCGCAGAGGTTTTCGGCTGCTGTGAAGGCTGTGATGTGAGCACGGGGCAGCCTTTCGGGAAGGGGCTGCGCTCGGTTCGGGGACCGGCGCGACACCCGGGCCGGAGCGCCCCGCCGCACGGCCGCGCCTCCCGCGCAGCGAGCTCCCGCCTGCGCATGCGCGGCCTCTGGCCGGGCAGTGCACCCCCCCGGCCGCGCTGCCTCATCCCCGGCAGATCCGTCCCGGCCACCGCCAAGGATGGGCCCCCACCCCCAACCCTTACCGGTGAGGGCGCCCTTCCGCGCCCCGATCACTCACCAAGGAGTCGCAGGCCACCAACACCACGTTAGATCGGGGCTGGTCCCCCGGGGCAGCGGGCCGCGGCCTTGCTCCCGCCCTGGCGGCCGTGAGGAGCAGCGCCAGACCGGCTAGCCCCAGCGGTCTGCCGTCTTGCATCGCCCTGGCCTGCAGCTCTACCCGAGAGCAGCGGCAGCTCCGAAAGCAGATTCCGTGTCTCTGGCCACAACGTAAGAGTTGAGGCTAGCCGCTGACTGCGGCCTACAACTCCCACAGTGCCCATGGCGGCGGCCTGTAACTCCCAGCATGCCCCGGGAGCGGAAGTGCGTCTCCTGCGGTGCGGCAGGTCGCGGTGCGGCGCTGCCCCTCGGCGCGGTGGGGCCCGGCCGGGAGCGGCGGCGGCTGGAGGTGCGGCGGGAGCGGCTGCCGGGTGGTCGGTGGCGGGTGGCGACGCGCCGTGCCGAGCCGCGCCGAGCCGTGCTGGCCTGGCTCGGCCCGCCTCGGCTTTCCCTGCCGGCCTGCGGGCGTGGATTGCCTCCCCAGGCGGTTCGCAGCCCCATCCGCGGGTCCCCGACCCCACCCGCAGGCCGGGCTAGCTGGCCTCGCTCTGCGGCCGCTGTCCAGGTTTGCGAAGGGCTGTTTTGCCTGTAGGTGACGGTGCGGCGGTGCCCGCGGTGAGGTGCCTTTGTGGTGGCCGAAGCATCTGTTCCCTCGTAGGAAGCAAATTTATTTCCAGGAGCCGCTGAGCAATGCAAGTCCGACAGATTTCTTTATAAGTTCTGAGGAAATCTGAAATTTGATGTTATTCTATGTCCAACCATTCCTTTATTTTTGCTTTGCAGCTTCTAAAAAGTTATTTTGTTCTTCTGCTAGTTGCTTTTTTCATCTTTTTCGGTGCTGGCAGCAGCAGTGTTGTTTCTCAATTTCATCCTATCTCGGCAGCTTTGACTCTGGTGTTTCTAAAGTTCAATGTGGTGTACAACATACACCAAAATAGTGCAAGGTTGTGTTAAAAAGCGTGAATGCCTCTTTGCTGTGTTCCTAAATGCTTTTTTGATTCATGGCAGTTGGTCAGAAGCAGAATCTGCTGTAATTGTGTGTGAAGGGCAGGCCACTCCAGGATGTGACAGATAGCCATGGTGCTGCTGTAGAAAGCACACAAGAAAAACCCCGATTCTTGCCAGCCACTGGAACATATTTCTCGGGTAATAGGGTTCTTAAGCACTTAAGCAGGGTTCACTGCGTAGTTTCTTTTTGAACAGGAGCTGCTATGTGTAGCGTGTTTTCTCCTAAGTCTAACTACAGGCTCTTAAAACACCTCTTCTTTAAATTTATCTTAATCTGTAAAAATAGTTTCATTCTTGGATAGCTACTTTGTATCTCTTTGGAACTGTACTTTGTAACTCTTTGGAATAATGACCGAATCCTGCGCTGGAGCAAAATGTGAGTTGTTTTAAGCATGCCATCTTTTTAATCATTTTGGCATACTGCACTATATTTCTCTGTTTAAAATAACCTCTGTGCAATAAAGGTATAAACATTTCATACGTGTCAGAATATCTGTTTTTACAAAAACTGATAATATTTTCTTTGTATTTAGCAGCCACAATGTCAAATAAGGAGGTGAAGGCAGCATTAAAGAATGCTAGAGATGCAATAAGAAATAAACAGTATAAGGAGGCCTTAAAATATTGCAAGGTAATTAATTTTATACTTGGAAGGTAAGTTTGGGGCTTTTTGCACATTTTGTTATTTTTCCCATACCTCTACAGCTATATAATAGTGCAGAGCATAGAGTACCTTATTGAAGTGATAGCTGAGATGGATTTTCAGATTTAACTTGATTGATTATTTATGTTAGTTTCCCACATGTAAACTTTCATTCCTTTTCCTTTTGAATTTGTTTACGTGTGGCAATAAGAGTATTAAATTGAGAATGATAGAAATAAAAATCCATTTTTAATCCAGACCTCCTGTGAGTGCTTTAATTGCTGAGCTGGAGATGCAGGTTACTAGCTCAACACTTCAGGAATAAAGCATCCTCTTGCACAAGAAATTGAAGTTACTAATCTTAGCATCTTCCTTAAAATTACTTAACTTCTAATATTGCCATATAAAATAATCCACCAAACTGTAGTGATAAAACTCAGTACATGAATTTATGAGTTACATTTCTTTAATCTGATTTACTTAAAATTGTGTACTTTTAGGCAGTTTTGAAGCAAGAAAAAAACAACTACAATGCTTGGGTGTTCATTGGCCTGGCAGCTGCTGAGTTAGAGCAGCCTGATCAAGCCAAAGGAGCATACAAGAAAGCTATTGAACTTGAACCAAACCAGTTACTGGCATGGCAGGTATGTGAATATTCACTTTTTGTTTCCCTCAGAAGCATCACTATGGAGTTAAATATAGGAATAAAGCAGAGTTAAGACTTACATCTTGTTTTCTTGAGGCCCTTAAGTTCCACAGAAGCTTTGGAGTAGATGAAGTTCCTGTTAGTTGTGTGTCCAATGTAAAATCATGGTGAAGTTTATTTTCAGTAGATTTGGGTTTGTATTTCTTGTGTAGACTATACAGCTGAGACATGCAAGGGAGAACATGGATTGAAACAAATACATAAATAAATGTGTCCACATAAAAATTTCTGTGCTTGTAGCTCAAGAAGGACTTGACAGTTCTTCTCTTACAGAGAGAAAATGTTTTATCTAGTAATCTATTTTTCCAGCTTTCAGCATCAAGGGGATTGTTAATGAATGTTGTTGTTACTTGAAAGCAAAAGTATGCATTTAAAAGAGCTGTGTGGTGTGTGCATTAAGAGCCTATTGCAATATAGATTTACAACCTCCAATTTTTTTATGTATTGATTCATGGAACATAACGTTTCATACTCTGTTGCTGATATCAACAATCAATGCTTTTCTAAGATAATAAGGATTTTAGTATTTTCAGTATAAATGCTATTTTAAAATATAACTCTTGGGGCCTGAATTCAGTGTAAGTTGTAGTATCCTCACTTTTGCAATTAGATTCTGGCTTTCTTAATACAATACTTGGGGATATATATATATATATATATATATATATATATATATATATAAAATTATGTATTTTGCATACTGTATATACAAATATAGTTATAATGCCTAGAGAAGTTTTATATTGTTTTTTGTGCAGACAAGATCAAGTAATAGATACAAGAATTGTTGGTATTAGTTTAGAAAGTGAAGAAAGCTGTTTACTTAATATAAGTAGATTGAGTGGGCTGTGCAGAATTCTGCACAGTGATTACTGCCTTAACACTTGACCCTATTGAAGGCAATGGAATAGGTTTTGTATACAGAACAGCTATCTCTCTCATAAAACGTAAGCATTGTCATCAAATCTTACTTCCTTTACTTCTTTTTGTTGTTTTGTTTGATTTTTTTTTTCTCCTTAAGGGATTAGCAAATTTGTATGAGAAACCCAACCAAACAGATGTCAAAGGAGACTTAGTGGATGTTTACCAAAAACTCTTGGAACTTTATGAAAGGTAAAGGATATTGAATGCCATACATTCAGTTACAAGATTTCCAGTTCAGTGAATGCCATTGGTGATGTACAGCATAGACTTTGGGTTTTTAAAACCTTCTCACATCAGTCCTTTGGCCCTTTTGGTAAGGTTTTCTCTGCCTAGGTAAGGTTTCTTTTTCCTGTTCCTTTTGGTAAAGCAAAAAACTCTCGTAGTTTACTTGTACTTGAGGCTAGTACTTTAGGGAATTCCGTGTTATCCTATTCCTGTCCAAACTCACAGCCGTGCAGCATTTATCTCTGATGGTTCATTGCCTGCATTAATAAGAAGGCTTATTTTTCACTGCTTTAAGATCACAGAATATGTGCCATGTAATTAGTAGAGGCACAGTTTTAAACAAATCTAACTTCACTGTCACTGTAGTTGACTGGAGTGTTTGGTTTTTCCCTTATTTTGAAAACTGATCAAGAAGTCCCTAAAAGCAATTTTTTTTTTTTTTTTACTCAGAGCAGCAATGAGTAAAACTTATAGGGTGATTTTTAGTATCTATTCTGTATATTAATTTGACAGCTGAACTTACTGAAAATTATTTGTCAGAATTTGATAAACATTGCACTGTTATATGAAAAACTTAGCTTGTTTGGGGGAATTTTCTTCCTTTCTAGTGGAGACAAGCAGAAATGGTGTGATGTATGTAACAAGCTTGTGGAACTATACCATCAAGAAAAGAAATATTTGGAGGTAGGTCAAACATTTTCTTACTTCTGACAATCATTTTCCATTTAATCTAACTACTTTTCATCAAGGAATCCCAACTCTTATGGGCCACAGACCACTTAAGATCTCCTTGTGGACCACCACCAGGAAGAACTGATTTTAACTGTATTTTGTCTTTTCCACTGGGTGAGACTTAGATGCAATCCATTAAACTGACAGAACTGGCAGAGACTATTAGTATTGAGACTGAAAGGGCAGAATATCATTCTTCTGTTATATTTCTAGAAGCCAAAAATGGTATCAAATGCACATTTATGTGCAGTATGTGTGAGTCAAGTGTCCTTTGCCTGGATTGGCTGGTGCTACATGATGATGATCCTTTGACTGGTGGGGTGATCCCTTCCTAGGCTGTTACTTAAGCTTCATTTTAGAGGGTAAGGTGGGATATGTACACAACCTGAACTCAATTGCATATGTCTTATGTACTGCATTCCCAACACAATGATAAGGACATGAAAAGCCTCTTCAGAGCAGCACAAGCTTTGCAGAAATCATTGTGACTCTAGTCAGTACCACAAAGTGAAGTTGTTAAATGTCTTCTTGGTTCAACAGTAATGTTTCCTGCAAGCTCTATAATATTGCTACAGAATGTATATTTTGGAGGCATGCAGTTCACTTTGCTCTTTGAAAAGGCTATTTTCTTATATGGTGGTGCATGATTGTACTCCATGTCAGCTTCCCACCTCTCCTCCAGCAATGGAACATTAAAAATTTTACATAGTGCAGAGTGTGGGGCAGAAAGCTACCAAAGCCTCATTGTACACCAGCTTCTTAAATTAAATTTAATGCTGATAGTTTAGCATATGAAGGCGTACTTATTCTATATGGCAGAAGAAACTGAAGTTAGCCTTCAGGATCCTATTTTTTCTTTCCAGTTCTGTTGACTTTTTAATACTGGAATTTCAGTGTGGACTGCTGCTTTTGTTCTCTTTCTGTTTGTAGTGATCTAGACCTTTAGGTCTACTTTTACTGTTGATTTCCTTCAGGAACCAGAGTCAGAATTAATATA